CTCCTTCCTTAGCTCTAATTCTCTCAGATACACCTGCCCTAATCCCATCTATTTCTCCCCACTGCAATTCTCCTTGTCCTGGTTAGAGCTAGGACATCCAGCTTTTCATTCATAAAAAACTTTTTTTTTCTGTACTACACCCATACACATTCAAACTTTACACATATGTATTTTATATACATATACATGCATTTATTATTATTATTATTATTATTATTATTATTATTATTATTATTGACACAAAAATTAGTTGGCTGATGACACTAAAATAGGCTGTCTGATTAATTCTTATGACACTAGAACACTAAAGGAAGATCTGGATAGACTGATGCAGTGGCTGGAGAAGTGACAGATGCAGTTTAATGTAGACAGATTTAAGGGTCTAAGCCTATGAAAAGAGAATAACAATGGTACTTAAACTGAATAATGTAAACCTCAATCACACTGAATGCAAAAAAATAAGATTTAGTTCTGTTGAGCAGTAATCTAAAAGCCTCACTTAGATTATGCTGTGCAGTTCTAGTCTCCATATTACAGAAGGGATATTTATGCATGGTAAACATAGAGAAGGATGACAAAATTTATTTATTTATAAATTTTAGCATACATACAGAGGTACAAAAAAATACAGGTAAGAGCAGCATGCCAAAGCCACTTATATGCATAGCATTACGGGCTGGCTTAAAATTAACTAAGATTAACTAAGCAATGATGAAATCAGTGATAAGACATTATTGTAAACAGATAACTATAAAATACAAATGAGTATTACAAAGACAGGTCATATGGTTGCATGCATTGCTGTTCATTCAGGTAGTGTATTTAAAACAAAAATAACAAAGTTAGGTTTAACATTTGTGTGATATAATTGTGAGTAACATTTAGGATATACAATTTATATGGTTCAGTTATTCAGTATTTATTTGGTTTTGAGTGAGTAAGTGAACTTTGAGAAGAGACTTGAATTTATAAACAGGTAGTGTTTCTTTTATATTTACAGGTAATGAATTCCAGATTTTAGGCCTTTTATGTGGATTGGGGTTTTTGCATAGCGTGAGATGGACACGAAAAACATCAAAGAATGATCTGTGCCTTGTATTATGGTCATGTGTTCTGTTGAGGTTGGCAAGGAGATGTTTGAGGGGAGGGTTATAAGGGTAATAAGTACAATAATAAGTATGGATGGTTTTGGTATGGTGAGTAGGTCGAGTTTTTTTGAATATTGGTGGAGTGTGCTGCCTGTAGTGAGAAATTTGTTATCATTCTAACTGCAGCCTTTTGTTGGGTAATTAGTGGTCTGAGATGGTTGTTGTTGTTGAGCCCCATGCACAAATTCCATAGGTGAGATAGGGGTAAAAAAGAGAGTGATAAAGGGCCAGGAGGGCTGACTGTGAACATAGTACCGTATCTTCGATAGTATGCCTACAGTCTTGGAAATTTTCTTAGAAATTTGTTGTATTGTGTATGAAATTTTGAGTCTATTATCGAGGTGGATTCCTAAAAATTTTTCCCCTCTTTGTGATAGCTTTGTGATAGGTGATCCGTTTATCGTTATGTTAAGAGGTACATCTGTAGCTCTGCTACCAAAACTGAATGAAGTAGGTTTTGTCAATGTTTAGTGTAAGTTTGTTAGTCCTCATCCAGGTAGATATTTTCTGTAATTCGGTGTTTACAGTATTGGTAGCGTGACTGGGCTCTGGTGAGAAAAGACGTATGTGGTGTCATCTGCAAAAAGTGTGGGTTTGAGTAATTGCGAAGCATTTGGTAGGTCATTTATGTATAGGAGAAAGAGAAGAGGGCCAAGGAACACTTCCCTGTGGGACACCAACTGTAATTGGTTGTGCGGAAGAGCTTGCCCCATTTGCGTACACTATTGGCTTCTGTTGCTGAGGTAAGACTTGAGGTAGTTGAGGGAGTGCCCTCTAATACCATAGTGTGACAATTTTACGTGGAGAAAAGTCATGGTCAACTGTATCAAAAGCTTTACGTAAGTCAATGAAGATCCCAGTGGGACTTCTTTTTTCTCTATTGCAGTGTATATATTGTTCTAGCATGTGTATAATAGCATCATTAGTTTTTTTATTAGGCCTGAATCCAAATTGGGGCGGGGGTTGAGAATGTTATGGGAGATGAGGTAGGAGTAGATTCGTTTATGAATTAATTTTCGAAGATTTTTGAGAGAGGGTGTAAATTGGATATTGGCCTATAGTTATTCAACTCTGTTTGGTCTCCTCCTTTATGGATCGGGTGACCCTTGCTATTTTGAGAACTGTAGGGAAGGTGGGGGGATTCAATGGATTTGTTAAAGAGGTGTTTTCAATGATTTGGGGATAGTACTTGTGACGCTTTTTTGTATATAAAGGGTGGTAAGGTATTTAAATCTCCTGCCTTGTTTTTCAGTGCGTTGATAATAAGGGAGACTTCATATGGGTTAGTCGGAGCTAGGAACAGTGTGTTCGGGTAGTTGCCAGTGAGGTAGTCATTTGGTGGGGTATCTGAGCTTGGGATTTATTGGCAAGGTTTTGACCTATAGTGGAGAAGAAATCATTGAGTCTGTTAGCTGTTTCTGTTGGTGGGAGTTGGGGTTCATGTGATTTTGCTAATTTTATTTCGCTATGTTAAACCTAAAACCGAATCTAACTTTATTATTTTTTAAATACACTACCTAACAGAATCCTTCATATGACCTGTCTTTGTAATACTCACTTGTGCTTTATAGTAATCTGTTTACATTAATGTTTTATCACTGACTTCATCATTGCTTAGTTAATCTTAAGTTAATTTTAAGCCAGCCCGTAATGCTATGCATAGTATAAGTGGCTTTGGCATACTGCTCTTATCTGTATTTTTTTTTTTGTACCTCTGTATGTGTGCACAAATTTATAATAAATAAATAAATAAATAAATATCTTTTTTGTTCCCAGAATTTCTGATAGGGTCTTCCAGGTCTTTTTTATATCACCTCGTAAGTTGGATAATCTGTTCTCATAATACAATTTTTTTGCCCTTCTTATCAGGCTGGTTAGGATTGACGAGTAACGTTTTGTTTGGTCTCTGGTTATGTGACCCATTCTGTACTTTTTTCATATCGGTGTTTTGTATTTATGGATTTGAGAATGCTGGGTGTTAGCCAGGGACTGTTCAGTCTCTTAGCTGTCATCTGTTTAGTTTTTTTAGGGCAGTGCTTGTTATAAAGGTATTGGGTCTTTTTTAGAAAAATTTTTAAAACATTCGTCAATATCTGTATAGATTTTAGCTCAGTGTGCCAGGCAATGTTTGTTACTGCTGTTGTGAAGTTATTAATGGCTGCCTCATTGTGAAGTCTGAAGGTGACTTTAGTAGTGTCTTGGGGTATTTTACCAAGAGTTGTTATGAGGAAAGTAGGGTATTTGGTTTTGTGGTATTATCTGTAATTATGCCCGATTTTAAAAGGGGATATGGTGTTGTCCCGGGTGTGGTCAAGTAGGGAAACACTAGTCTCTAACTCTTGTAGGTTTTGTTACTGTTGGTAGCAACATGCAGTTACTCATTGTGGGTTTTTGAATTCAGTAAAAGTGTGGGTCCTGGTCTTGCAGGAGATTTATATTGAAGTCACTGAGAGTAGTAAGTGATCTTTGTTCATGCGTGCATCAGTTATCATACTTCCTAGGTTTTGACTAATTGGCTAATGTTGATTGTGGAATTCTGTAGTGTTTATCACTGTGAGAGGTTTTTTTTAGGTATTTGGATTTGATTTAGCTATTATATATTCCCCATGTTCATCCCCTTTTGCAAGTATTAGTGATACATTCTGTTGGTCTTTAGTAGTATATAGCTGTGCCACCCCCCTTTTTGGTTGGCCTACGTTGTGTATGGCTGTGTAACCAGGGAAAGGCATAGACATCTGTAGTATCAGGCTTTAGCCAGGTTTCAGTTAGTGTAATAATGGACATATTGGCATGCAAAGGGAATTTTGTAATGCTAGGAGGTCATCATAATGCTTGCTTAAAGATCTGATATTGTAGTTAAAGATAGTTATGTTGTTGTTGGCCCCTGAGAAGTGCCTTTGATTGTTTGCTGTGTAGTAATTAAGTAACTGTTTGAATCATTTAAGTCATTAAATAAGAGGTTGGTATCAGGATCAATGCTTTTAATCATAAGATTTGTAGTGAATCTACAGTTAGAATTAAGTAAAAAATAAAGTAAATATTCTAAAGCTAAAAAAAAATAGCACTTGAATTATTTAAAAAATGTAAAAAATAATGAGCTAAGGTAGTTTTTTAAAGCTAAAATAAAGGAGACAATATAAAAGGGACTAAAATAATTTGTGGTGAACAAATAAAGTGATGATCAAATAATGGAGCTTAGTGTATCGCAAATCTTTCCTAAAAGGATAGACAGACTACTGAAGGGCACTGAATCTACACCCTGGAAGAATGTAGAATTAGGGAAGATATAACCGAGGTGTGTAAATGGAAGACAGGAATAAATAAAGGAGATATAAATAATGTTCTAAAAATATCTAAAACATGATTCGTAACAATGGGCAAAGCCTGAAAAAAACAGATTTAGAAAGGATATAGAAAAGCATTGGTATGGTGAGAGTTGTGGATGAGTGCAACAAGCTCCCGATAAGTGTCACTGAAGTGAAAACCTTGGGTAGCTTTAAAAAATAGGTTAGATAATTTTTGTACATGAATGGGTGTTGGTGGGCGAGTTAGACCGCCTAGCATGGGCCAGTAGGCCTGCTTCAGCGCTCCTCCTTTCTCATGTTATCTAGATATTAATCCAGCAAGGGTTATTCAGTAAACACTTCATATTATGCAACCCTGCTTTAACTTATTTCATTATGATGATAATGAGGGAGAAAACACTCAACCCGCAGGAGTCGTCAGCACCTAGGGGCTGGGACGTAATCATGTTTGATCCAAGGATAGGAAGGATTGGTACAATTTCCTGGCTCAGTAGCCCTTCACCGGCATCATAGCACCTCCCTGAATCAGGCTATGACATCAGCTTACCTTTAAAGCTTTGTCCCACAGAAGATTCAGCTTAGCCATCCTGAACGGGTTCCTCTCAAAGTGAACCTTAGTATTTGCTGCCTCAGAATACTTGTTGGCCAGGGTATGTGCTCCCATGGTTACCATGATGATGGTATATACCAAAATACGTGGTCCTGGACACACCATTGTGAAGCAATGGCTCATAGAACTGACTCAAGCTTAGTCTCCAGCTCTTAACAGTGTTGCCACTGTCTATCTCAAGTCAACACTTCAAGGCAGCAAGTTTTCATTTACGCAAATAAATTAGCATATTAAATGGTAATTGTGTATTAAATAAGTATATAAAATAGTAATTATGTAGTTTACCTAGTATAACCCAGTAAAATCAGTTATTATATTAATGGAGTCACACAGGGCCTGGATAATTGGGAATGGGAAGCAATTTGGTTTGATTAGTGGTAGGTAAGAGTAGTCCCCAAGTCCATGGATCAAGGCACGGTATTGTGATTTTTTGTTCTTCGTGGATCATGAGTTATTCATCAGCGTCAAGGCACCTCTTTTGAATGACCAGTAAAGTTAAGCGATGTGACTATTTTCATTGGGGTCCTTGATGCTGGTGAATAAGTAAGTTTATTTAAGTACAGGTACACATAAATACAATTAGATACATAGCACCACATGTGTAGTTTATCTAGATGATCCAAAAAAGTCAGTGACTTATTTCCATTGGGGTCCTTTTAATACCTTATTATTATAATATAAAGGAGATAATACCTTATTATTATACTATAAAGAAGATAATACCTTATTTTTATTTCTATAAAGGAGATTTACTAGGAATAAGGTAAACTGAGTTATTTATATTTACATGTGTTAGCTATATAAAAAATAATTCTCCCTTTCTGTCGCTACATTCTTTAGGCACCTTTTGGCTCTCTTATTGATTATTATTATCATGGGGAGCGCTAAATCCATAGGATTATACAGCGCCTGTGGGGGGGGTGGAAGGTATTCAGACTCAGTTCAGGAAACCGGATTATTATAATCAAAAATAAATTATTATAATCAAAAAGAATTCAGGGAACCGGAGCACAAATCCAATTCTCTACATGAAGAGCCCCTCACCAGCGTCAAGGAACCTCCCTTGAGGGATTATCTTCTTGAACTGGCTGATACTGACAGGTTTTGACATGTGCAGGCAGTCTGTTCCACTCCTTTATTGGTACAATTTAACTGCTGCACCTGTCCTCTTGCTCAAGTATATTTCCATCATGCCTCCTTATATGACTGAAAAAAGCCTGCTGCTTTAGCACATGTCTTATTCCTCAACTTGCCGGTATTGTATATCTATGATGTAATGATATGTTTAGGTCAGCGCTGTAGGACCCTTGTGGGTTAGCGCTTAGTTACGATTATAATAATAATAATAATAATAATAATAATAATAATAATAATAATAATAATAATTATGACAGGTATGAGGAGACTTTTCTGTACGTCCCATCGAGCCCTTGTGCTTTAGCGCTTCTTTGATTATAATAATAATGTACGTCCCACCTTGTAGAGGGTTCTAACTGATGTTCTCCTAGGTGTGAGCCCAGGCTCTTACCACTGAAGTACAAACTGATACTTATGTACAAAGGTATTATGTATATATATGTTATATAAAATATATTTTATATAATAATATATATATATATTCTTTCTT